GGAGTCAATGGTGTATTCTCTACAGTCAGAGAGCGCTTTTACTGGCCCCATATGTTACAGGATGTCAAGCATCATATTCGCACCTGCCATGAATGCCAGATTCGAAGTGTACGCAAAAGTGAAGTCCCACTTACCATCTCATCACCTCCTACAATCTTCACCAAAGTATATGTCGACATTATGCTCATGCCCAAGGCCAGAGGATATCGATATCTTGTTGCTGCAAGAGATGATCTGTCACTTGCTGCAGAAGGAAGAGCATTGAAGAAAGCATCTGCACATAATCTTGCTCGCTTTTTCTGGGAAGAAATCATCTGTCGCTATGGAGCTATAGGAGAAGTTGTCACAGATAATGGAAGCGAAGTCAAAGGAGCATTTGAAGAGCTTGTGGAACGTTACCAGATCCCTCATATTCGCATTTCTCCCTATAATCCCAAGGCAAATGGTGTTGTTGAGCGTGGACACTTCGTCATAAGAGAAGCACTTGTCAAGTCCTGTGAAGGGAATGTCGATTTATGGCCAACCAAGGTCCATCATGCCTTCTTTGCAGACAAGGTCACTACTCGTCGTTCTACTGGATTCAGCCCTTTTTATCTGTTGCACGGAGTTGACCCAGTCCTACCATTTGATCTGACAGAAGCAACTTTCCTTGTTCATGGATTCCATACTGCAATGTCAACAGAAGACCTCATTGCTCTGCGCATTCGTCAACTAGAAAAGAGACAGGATGATTTGCAACAAGCTGCACTCACTATACGCAAAACTCGTCTCAGATCTAAAGCGCAGTTTGAGAAACTCTATGCACGAAGGATGTTCAAGAACGAATACCAGCCTGGAGAGCTTGTTCTAGTGCGGAATACTCAGGTTGAGAAAGAGCTGGATTGTAAAGCAAAGCCTCGTTACAATGGCCCTTATGAAGTTGTGCGACGTACTAAAGGAGGATCGTATGTTCTAAAAGAAATGGATGGATCAGTATCACGAAGAGGAATTGCAGCATTTCGCCTACTTCCCTATTTCAACCGCCACTCTATGCCACTCTTGGACGAACTGGATGACCATGATAACGACCTAGATGAACCAGAAGATGAACCTGACTATGAGCATAACGACTCAGATGATGAAGATAACGATTAATGACTTACCTGAACGAATTTTATGCTGACATGACCCTTCAATGTGTTGCCATGTTTCATTCCCTATGACCCTACCTTTATGGAAGCAACTGGGGACAGTTGCAATTTCAAGTTGTCCGTGGATGTCATGCACCAAAGTTGATTGGTAGCATGGACAGCTGTCAATAACGAAGCGAATATTCAAAAAGACTCGCCTTTGCGCCACACAGGCACAGTGCCACGTGGAATAGTAATTAATATTGCCCTTTTTGAACTTGTGGCTGATCAGCACCACCTCTATTAGGCAATCCAGTCACGCTCACCTTTGCTTTTCCATCCGGTACTTTCCGCATTTCGGCATTTCGGCAAATTTTCGCGTCGCCACTGGCTACACATTGCATTGCGCCCTCGCTTTTGTCGTTTCCCTTACTCCCCTTCCTTTGCCTAGCCCCACCATGGGCCCCTTCCTCTCCTTTTTATTCTCACCCGACGGTCGTTTCTGGGTCCCCATTTTAGTTCACCTCCTCGTCACCTCCACCCTCCTCCTCCTCATCTTCTTTGCACCCCCACCATTTCTGATGTCACCACTTCCTATCCGCTTCCGTCGCCGATCCGTTGACTACCACGTGCCACTGCTGATATCAGCAAAGCCCCGGCGGCCGGTCCAAATAGGGCAACAGGTCCATCTTCATGACGTCGATCTGCCATCATATACTATCAAAACATCGGTCGCTCGTCTTGCCTGGTTGGAGCGTGGGTGGGTAATTTTTGAGCTGGAGAAGGTTCATCCCCTTGCGTCGCCCATGTTCATCGCTGTCCCATTCACTTGGGTACACTTATCATTTGTCCATCGTCTTCGCTACAGCTACACCTACCACACACTGCCTGGGACTCACTTGTTCCAAATTGGAACTACTCCTCTCCCTCCCTCGTTTGATCAGGTGGTCCAACACAACCAGTCCATTGGTAAGGCCATGGAACTGTCAGATTTGGACTAGGTGGTGGACCGGTGGCTCCAGTTTCTTTTTTTTCAGCAGAACATTCATTTACAGTGCAATTATTTTTGATTTTTGAATCATTTTTATGGACACATATTTTTTTAGAATGCCTGACTGACAATAAAGGAACTGTGTTGATACTGATAGTGTTTTGCTTTGCCTTTTTTTTACTGCATCTTCCCATGACATCATGATTTTCCTGCTCTCTTTTTGCTATTGGACTTTACTTTATGGCTGTACAAACCTGTGACATTACTCACAGCATTTATTGTTCTATCCCTTTCTTTTCTTTTTTTGACAATCTTATCCTGTACTACCTACGCAGGATTTGTCAGCGTACATTCCTTCCTTCATATTCTTTCTCATTCTTTTTGCACAGCTATACTGTGCATAGCCTACTTCTCTTTTACTATATAAACCCCTGTATTTTACCTTGTAAAAACAACAAGAACTCGAATCCAGACTTCTTCTCTACTCTCAAGTTCACTACTCTGCTACTTGTGATCCAGTGTGGTCACAACACTTCCCACTTCTACCACTGTTAACTGCTGTCATCGTCACTCGTCACTTTTTGAAAGTGATTGTCATCCCCTTCGATTAGAGTTCTTCTGAGCACTACAGTTTGTGCGTCAGGAGCCTGCTATCACTGGGAACCTCGTCACCTCGTCATCCTTGTTGTTCTCAAACCTACCTTGTGCTACGATTAGCAAGGTAGTGCTCGTCTATACTCGTCACCAAGCCCCTTATCCTTCTATAAATTCAACTATCCCTCCTCCTCAAAACCCACACTCATACACCTCTGGGTTTTACTTTGAAGGATCTTTATACGTACCACCCCACGAACAACCAGACCACTCCACTGTTCTAGGAGGCAAAGCCCATAAACAAGTTCCGTGGAATCTGGGAGGATTGTGTGTTAGTTTGTTTTGTGTGTGGTTTTCTAACTGCAGTTCTCATCATCGACACCGCTCTTTACCTTTACCTTCTCAACAATACCATATTTACTAGTAGACAGCCTGTATTCCCCGCTCTTTATCTTTACCCTCTCAATAATATATTTGTTCCTACACATATCTATTCAAGTTCTAGCAACACATCATCATATTTTGCGCTCGGGTGCTTGCCCTCCTCTTCTTCCATTGCCATTTTGTCAGCCACTACCCCCTTATCTATTATATGCATCCCCTTGTCTATCAAATCAGCAACAACATGCTGGCTCTTGCGGTTGAGGGAAAATTCCTGGGCTGAGTGGGTCTTTATATGATCTGTAAGCAGCCCAAACATTTTTGTCATGTCCTTATCTGTGTGAGAGCTTGTGATGCCTGAGTGAAGGAAACTCTTGTCCGCAATGGCGTGAGTGTCACGGTAAATCTGTACAAGGGGGGACTCCAAGATGATTCACTCAACTGTTCTATTGGGACCATCACCTCCATTAATGACTTATGGGTGAGAGCTCATCAAGTGGGACAAGATGAATTGTAAGATTCAAACCTTGATGAACAAGTTGAATAATTCTACACACCAGTCAACACCACAGAATTTACCTGGCTTTCCTGTAGGGATAACAACTGTATGGTACTGAACCGCTTGTCTGGGATAGCCTTAGCTTGCATCAATCAAAGAAAACTACTGCACTTACTTTAAACCATCAGGGTATGAAAAATGAACAGCCACCAAAAATTGGTCATATACGTAGTGTATTTGTGCTTTCCCGTTGCCCTAAAAATGGGTATTGTCACAATTGACGTACCAGTACCTACTTACACTTCACTTTTTCATACTTTTACTTTTATTTTTCCAAGTTATATGACCAGTCATGTGACACAACACCTGACCAGTGTCTAGACTCATCATGTGACCAGTCACATACTAAACATTGGACTTTAAACTTTATTTACAACTGTACAGTACCTTATGTATTTTAGTATATATACAGGAGCAATACATGGGGAAAGACTCAGCAAGTCCTCCTGTTGTCTACCAACAACTAACTTGTTGAAACCTAATGGGTAACCACTCCCGCCTCTTCCTCTTCTTTTGTGTTGTTTTCATTGTGCTCCAATGCCCCAAGACTGTGTCTTGTTGGTGTTGTCACAGGTATCTAATACACAATGCATGTTTCAACGTACACAATGTCCCCTTTGTTCATTGCATACAACAGTTCATCATAGAGTAGCAAGTATTTATTGAGTAATAGCCCATTTTCATATTGTTGGTCTCGAAATGCTGGAGGATGCTGGTGTAGTCAAGTGAGCTTGTGATTGACAATACAAGCCTTGGCTAGATGGGCAGTTATAGCCCTGAGTTCTTCAAATGATGGTGCTGAAGCCACAAATAGGGCAAAAGTAGAATGAGCTGGATTATGAGTCTTCTCCTCAACTCTCCAGCAATCAAGATAGCGGCATATTCCAGTGTGATTGACCAGCTGATGCATACACCTAAACCCTGGCTTGCTGCCATATATACCTGTCTCTCTAGGTTGCAACTTGGACACAAGCTCGTTTTATCTTGTCTTGCTGTTGCTGATTGCAGGAACGTGCGCCATAATGCGTCAGCACAAGCCATTTTAAGATGGAAGAGACCTGGTACAAGATTGAGGTGTTGAAAACGGTTCCAGAGTGTCTCCTCAATTGCCCTTTGCTCCTGAATAGCCTGCAGCCGCTCTCCTGTGCCCAGATCCCCATGTAATAGGACTACATGCTTGGATAAATCAACATAATCGAGGTTGGTATCTTCCGCCATATTTTTGATCACCCCCCCCTGTGCCATGAGATTCACATGGATGTTACCTGAAACAGTTGAGTTATTCACATCTATTGCTCAGGCAGCAACAACAGGTGTCTTGATGAGAGGAATTTATTCTATGACAGAAGGCTCTTCAAGCTGAGATTTAAAACCTGAAAAATACAATGGTCTGAAGTACAAGAGGTTGCTCTGGAACTTCCAAGCAATGAACTGTTGTTGTGGGCTAAGTCCAGCCATGTTTGGTGGTTGTGAATAGAGGGTTAGTAAATCTTTGAATGTTTTCTTGGGTGGAAGGTATTCAGTACAAAGCTGTGGGTTAAGGTGCGACTGTTTCCAAAGGGCATGTGAGCACTTGAGGTTGACCTGAGAAACCCCATGTTGCAGTGGAAATAACAGGCCAGATGTGAGGTGCTTCAGACTGTCTGTAGAAAGTTCAATAGTGGAAGCACTGGTTTTGAGATTGTCATCAAAGTTGTCATATGCATACAATGCAAAAAGGGTTTGGCCAAGATCTTGAAGGGCTCAATGAGACTCCATTGATAGCAATTGAATAGCAGCTTAAATTGCATTCATTGATATTGATATGTGTCACAATCGTATCCATCTGACTCATCCTTTTTATCTAATCGCGAGATAGAGACTATTATCTCACCTAATCTAATCTCTCTTTGATCTTATCTTATCTAGTAATCACGTGACACATTAGTAATACTCATTACCAATCAGCCTCACGCATTACACATGTTACTTACCAATACGCTACGTCATACCTCACCGTAGCCTCATACTTTCTTCTATATAACTAGCACGATATCCATGTACATACCCCAGTTGTAGATTTACTCTTATACTTGCTTGTCCAACACTTGTTGTGTGATTTAAGTCCTACGCTGCTCGGGTTACCGGCATAACAGCTAGGGTCTTTACATAATCTACAACTTTGAACGACACCTGTTGATGAGCAAAAGCACAGCTATTCTAATCATCACCCTATTCCCTCTCATCGCAATCATACTCTTTGGCATTGCCAAACTCTACATCTATATTACCAAACCAACTACCACCACACCTATCACCCGACCATCAACCATTGTCTCATTTTTCCCTGCCAACGTCTCACCCACAGAGTCGTTTGTCGATATCCCTCTCACTCCCCCTTCCAACCCTGTAGCTAGAACCCTTGACGGCGTGGAGCCCGATAGGTATTACTTAGTTTAGAAAAACTTCTTTACCCTTCTGACCAGGCCGCTCACTTGAGTCCGCCAGTTGGAAAAGACCTGCACACGGTTATTCGCTGTGTATCACTGAGACAACCGTCTGGACCTCAGTTACTATACTTTAGAACACCAATACATAGTTAGAATTAGTTACGTACACAGTCAGTGCGGGACAGAAGAGGAACTGCTTGACTAAAGAAGGAAACAGATAGACCCGGTTGATCTTACATTAGAAAGTGTTGATCCGACTTATCATCGGGAAACTCTTTTGTATGCAACCTGGGAAATTCGAAGAGTGGTTAGCAGAAGAACACTTTCACTCCGAGAACAGATTAGCTTGGGAAATTTACTTTACATTCCCAGAAATAGAACCGATCAGAACCCGCTACCACACCCCCTACCCAGATCATGACAACAGAAGCATTCGGAGAGTGGCGAGGTCCGCGCGAAGAGCCGGACACATCAGAGATAGGAATGGGAGAATTGTCAGGTGCACTCCCACCGTTGGAACCACGAGCGCCAACATCGCAGGAAGCTGGACTGGAACAGTACATTCAGACCAGAATAGAACAGGAGCAGAGACGGCTCCACGATCTTTACGAAACGCAGCTGAAAGAGGCGAAAGAAGAAGTCGAAGAATTGCTAGCCAAGCTGAGGTTAGCTACGTCAAATTCTTCTACGTCCGCTCCCGCCGCATCCGCACCCACGCCACCCAGTACGCAGCCGAGACGCGTAGATAGAACGAGAACAGCACTCCAGAAGCCTGAGAACTTCAATGGAGACAGAAAGAAGTATAAGGCTTTCCGCGAGGCCTTAATGCTAAACTTCAAGGATGATGAGGAATATTTCGCGGATGAAAGAAGAAAGATCGCCTATGTGCTTTCTTTCATGACAGGAGGAGCAGCGGCTACCTTCAGAACGGAGTGGATGGAGACGAAACTAGAAAAGAGGATGCGAGGAGAAAACCTCAAATCCACTTACGAAAGTTTTGAGTGGTTCGCCCACAAGATGGAGACTCGGTTCAAGAATGTTCACGAGCAACTCGCCGCCCGCAATGACATAATGATCTTGCGCCAAGGAAAGAACACGGCAGAGAAGCACTTCGAACATTTCGAAGAACTGAGAAGAGAGGCTAACTACCTCCAAGCAGCCAATGAGGACTTCCTCATTTCGCTCTTACGTAGGAACATGAATGAACCCCTGGTCAATCAGGTGATATACGGCGGCCGGGAGCCAGCCAACTACGAAGAGTGGAAAAAGGAGTTGATCCGCATTGACTACTTGTGGCGCCACAGAGAGGCGGAGAAGGAGAGCTTCAGAAGCACGGAGAAAAAGAAGCAAGACAGAGGAGGAAAGACCAAGCCAAAGGTCGAGAGAAAGAAGGACGGTAGCGGGTACCTTTATACCCAAGCCGGTGACCCAATGAAGGTCAACAAAGCGGAGTACCGACAGAAAGGGCTCTGCTACCGGTGCGGAGAAAAAGGACACCGATCCTTCGAATGTAAAAAAGAAGCGCACGCAAAACCCCAATTCAACGTTAGGGAGTTCTTGCAAAAGATGAGTGCGGAAGAAAGAGCAAAGATCCTTCAGGGTTTTTGAAGAGGCCAGCGGTAACACATCAACCGACTGTGCCTAAGGACAAAAGTTTCATAAATAGTTTCTCTTCTTTGTTGATCGAAGATTCCTGCTCACCGTCTACTGTATATGATACCGATCATGAAAATGAAATTGCATTAGCCAAAGACGCAGCAGATCTAAGATTGAAAGAAAAAGAAACTAAAAAAGATGTGAACCTGAATAGGGAACGGGTTAGAAAGATCCCAAACAAAGAGATTACGGCGCACTCAGAAGAGAAAAGCGCAGTAACTAAAAAAGAATTTGTGAAGGAAGTGACTCAATCGGGCAGCACTTCATTGGAAACAACAGAACCACAGAAAGCAGTGACTCAATTGGGAAGCACTGATGTAACTGATGGTTCGACCAGTTCCAAAGAGGTCAGGAACACCTCTAATAAAAACCTAGACCACAAAGAGAGAAAGAGACTGACAGCGGCATGGACGCCACTATGGGTTGCTGAAAGATTACGAGACCAAAAGGAAGACAGATCCATTGGTATTCTCAACATCTGGACGCACCAAAAGAGAAGCAGAGAAGTCACAATAGAGACGATACAAGAGTTAAATGCATTAACGCTACACGATGCTGAACTCGCTCTATTAGAGTTACACACCCCAAAGAAATACATTAGGGGAACGCAAGGAAATCAGATGAAGATTACTTGCAAACTCACAACTCTTGACACAAACCGATCAACGACGATCGAAGCTCTCTTAGATAGTGGATGCACAGGGAGCTGTATAGACTCAGTGTTCGTAAAAGAACAAGGTTACGAGACAAAGAAGATACCGAGACCAATTCCAGTATATAACGCTGATGGCACACTTAACAAAGATGGTGCTATCAAAGAATTTATAGAATTACGGATGAGCATAGAAGACCACGAAGAGAACATTCACTTTGCTGTAACAAGCTTAGGGAGTGGACGCATGTTCCTTGGACATGAGTGGTTAACAAAGCACAATCCTACTATAGATTGGAAGAAGTCGGAGTTGAACTTTGATAGATGCCCGAAAGAATGCAAACGACAGGTTGACTTCCTTGATCCGGAAGAAGACCCTGACACATACTTTTCGGAAGTAGATCGCTCAGATGGGGATCAGCTGATCCAAGTGAATCTAATGAACTACGAAGATACTTCTATTGATGATCACTACTACCATATTAGGGCACAAGGCACAACAGCTCAGAAGCTTGCCGAGGCCGCTGGTAAAGATCAGAAAGAAGGAGGATTCGAGAAGATAGTTCCAAAACACCTTCACGATTACAAAGACGTATTCGATAAAGAATCATTTGATGCACTGCCAGAGAGACGCCAATGGGATCACGCTATAGAACTCATCCCAGGGGACCATACTCTGGACTGCAAATGTTATCCACTGGCTTTAGGTGAACAAGAACAATTAGATGCATTCATAAACGAAAATCTCGAATCAGGAAGAATTAGACCTTCCAAATCTCAATTTGCATCCCCGTTCTTCTTCATCAAAAAGAAAGATGGAAAACTCAGACCCGTCCAAGACTATCGGAGATTAAACGATATAACCATCAAAAATAGATATCCGCTACCCTTGATAAATGAACTTGTAGACAAGCTCAGGGGCGCGAAATACTTTACAAAGTTAGATATCAGATGGGGATACAACAACATCTGAATCAAAGACGGAGACGAACACAAAGCAGCCTTCAGAACAAATAGGGGGCTCTTTGAACCATTAGTGATGTTCTTTGGACTCACAAACTCGCCAGCGACATTTCAAACCATGATGAATGCGCTATTCAAAGATTTGATTGATGACGGAAAAGTCGTAATATACCTCGACGACATCATGATTTTCACAAAAACAATTGAAGAACACCGCGCAATGACACGCAGAGTGTTAGATATCTTAAGGAAGAACAACCTTTACCTAAAACCAGAAAAATGCGATTTCGAAGAGACCTCAACAGAGTACTTAGGTCTTATCATTTCAGAAAATAAAATCCGCATGGACCCGGTAAAAGTAAAAGGAATCATGGAATGGCCAGAATGCAAATCAAAGAAAGAAGTACAAGCATTCTTGGGTTTCGTGAACTTCTATAGAAGATTCATAGAAGGCTTTGGGTTGATCGCCAAGCCATTAATGAAATTGACCGGGAAAGTAGAGTTTGTGTGGGGACAGGAACAGATTGACGCTTTTAACGGATTAAAAACCCGTGTCGGATCAACTCCCGTACTCGCCTTACCAACTGATGACGGCCAATTTAAGATAGAAGCAGATAGCAGCGATTATGCTATGGGGGCAGTTCTTTCACAAATGCAAGACGGGAAATGGAAACCGATTGCATATCTCTCAAAAGTGTTAAACCCTACAGAACGCAATTATGAGATCTACGATAAAGAACTTCTCGCTATAATGACTGCGTTAGAAGAATGGAGGCATTATCTCGTTGATGCTAAAGAGGTGTTTGAGATCTGGACAGACCACCAGAATCTTCTCTACTACAAACAACCTCAAAAGCTCAACAGACGACAAGCTAGATGGGTCATGGAATTGAGCAATTACCACTTTACGCTCCATCATATTCCAGGTACCAAACACATCAAAGCAGACCTTCTCTCGAGACGAGCAGATCATGAAAGGGGGGCGGATGACAACAAAGACGTAATCGTTCTAAAAGCAGAACACTTCAGAATGATGATTTCACACACAGAAAGACAACGCATGGCAGAGCAATCAGCCGATGCAGTGGAATTATACAAATGGATCTGTAAAAGAATGATGAACGTAGACGAAGTAGCGCGGAAGATGATAGAGAAAGGGGAAGACAGAGAAAAAGGCATATGGATGGAAGACGAGATGTTGATATTCAAAGGAAGGATCTATATTCCCAAAGACGGGAAATTACGAGAACACATCATAAAAGAAAACCATGACTCCACTGTAGCAGGACACCCCGGACAGTATAAAACCAAGGAATTGGTAACTAGATGGTATTGGTGGCCGTACATGGACAGAGACATCCGAAAGTACGTAGAAGGCTGTGAAACGTGTCAACGCACAAAAATTAATTATCAAAAGAAAGTGGCACCGTTACACCCGAATGAAATCCCAACCAGACCATGGGAAATCATTACCAGAGACCTGATCGGACCATTACCGGAATCTCTCGGTTACAATATGATACTCGTGGTAGTAGATCGATTCTCGAAGATGATCAAAGTCATGCCGACTTATGATAAAGTGACGTCAGAAGGAGTAGCCAGATTATTTAGAGACAACGTCTTTAGAAATCACGGCATACCGGAAAAGATCATTTCAGATAGAGGACCGCAATACGTCTCTAACTTCATGAAAGATCTCTATAAGCTCCTCGGGATAAAAGGAAATCCCTCGACCGCTTATCATCCTCAGACAGACGGACAGACAGAACGGATAAACCAAGAGATAGAACAGTATCTCAGAATATTTGTCAATCACAAACAAACAGACTGGGCCGAATGGTTACCACTAGCGGAATTTTCTTATAACAATAAGTCACACTCTGCAACTGGCTACAGCCCTTTCTTTTTAAATTCAGGACAACATCCGAAAGTCACAAAAGGAATTAGAAGTACGGTAAAGACAGAGAGTGCGGAGGAGTTTGTGAAGAGGATGGAGGAAACAAGGAAAGAGGCAGAAAAATCGCTGGTAAAAGCAGCAGAAAATATGAAAAAACAATATGACAAAGGAAAGAGAGAGGCAATCGCATACAAAGAAGGAGACAAAGTATATGTTGAAGCAGAACATATAACCACCGATAGACCCGCAAAGAAACTTGACGATAAAAGACACGGACCTTTCCCCATCGAAAAGAAAATAGGCAAAGGAGCCTATAAATTAAAACTTCCTGGACGATGGAAAAACATTCACCCGGTCTTTAACGAAAAGTTACTCACACCCTTCAAAGAACCAGAGTTCGAAACTCAAAAGAAACCAAAAACCGCACCACCGGTGATAGTGGAAGGAATCAAAGAATATGAAGTAGAAGAGGTTCTAGACTCATGATTGAAACGTGGGAAACTAGAATATTTGGTACATTGGAAAGACTTTCCAAAAGAGGATCGCACGTGGGAACCCGAATCCAACCTAACACACTCACCAAAACTCGTAAAACAGTTTCATGATAAAAACCCCAGTGCACCCCGAAGGATAGAATTTACTCTAAATTACCAACCATTCGAAAACCTCACCATCCCAACTCGTATTCGAAAATCCTTATATAACTGGGAAACCGGAAAGCTAGACTCTCACTTTCGGGACAAAAGTCCTAAGGAGGGGGTAATGTCACGATCGTATCCATCTGACTCATCCTTTTTATCTAATCGCGAGATAGAGACTATTATCTCACCTAATCTAATCTCTCTTTGATCTTATCTTATCTAGTAATCACGTGACACATTAGTAATACTCATTACCAATCAGCCTCACGCATTACACATGTTACTTACCAATACGCTACGTCATACCTCACCGTAGCCTCATGCTTTCTTCTATATAACTAGCACGATATCCATGTACATACCCCAGTTGTAGATTTACTCTTATACTTGCTTGTCCAACACTTGTTGTGTGATTTAAGTCCTACGCTGCTCGGGTTACCGGCATAACAGCTAGGGTCTTTACAATATGCCCATATGCGCAAGAGTATCTATGACTCTCTTGAGGGCGTGCGAGAACTGAAGAAAGATGCCAAGGATATTTTGCAAACTGTTCACTTTCTGATTGGTGCTGTGCATTAAAACACTAATAATGACAACTTTTTTCTATGAATTGCATGTGTACAGTCAGATAAGTCTTGCAGTGGCAATTTGGTAGCTACTTACAACTGTCAGGATCAGTCTATGGCATTTTTTAGCTTTTTGAGCGCATACTATAGGGTCGCTTATGGTTATTTGTACCATGCCTTCTAAGTCCACACCATCAACTTGCTCCCAGTACTCCTCCTCCTCCTCTGCATCTACTCCAGCCATGGTAATATCACTATCTCCAATCCAACTTGACAATCTGTGTGGCAAAAGCGAGGAGCTGAGTAATAACAAGTCCCCAACTTGCTTCCATAGTAGTGGTGCAAGTTTCTCAAACCTGGAACTCATGTCTTGAACATAGAAGTCTTTGATCTGATTGGCTGTTGCTTTGGCTGCGTTGAAATGCCAGCCACTCTCTTTCATTGAGAAGGAGCAGATTTTAGCAGCACAGTTTGAAGTAGTGACTTGAAGGGCCCAATATTGGGCCTTGAGACTGGTTTTTGATGGTCTGCAAATGTCGAGTAGAGTGTCCATCTGTACCAGCTAATCACTCTGATTGCAATAAACGATCAATGATCATTATTGAGGCTTAATCTTACTTGTAGTTAGTTACCCAATTTGGAATACTGTGCACTAAAAATAATGAATTTGCGTGCAACTAATATTCTAAGGGTACAGTGTCACTGGTATGGGGATGTCACTGTGGCAATAGATTGTTTACTGGTGTTATATGCCAGCCTCTATGGAGAGAGAGCAAGGGACATTCAAATTTTCTGGTCATGTGATGTATTCTATTTTTTTTAATTTTCATATATCATCTCACATCAAACCTCTAGGATAAATCCCTCCTCTCTCAAAATAGAGGCTGGGTAGGAGCCTGAGTCCAAGAAGGACTACCTGTTGAGAAGACAGGCTCAAACTGTTACAACCAAAGTTTTTGATACTCTGGCGCACAACTCAGACAAAGCTATAAAGGTAGTGGTTACCCTTTGGATAGGACCGAGTTAGTTATGGGTAAACAACAGGAGGACTCGCTGAGGAGTCTCCTTGATCTATTAGGGTATATATACTACTACAGGGTTGTTTGTACATGTGTACTGTACAGTTGATAGAGGCAGTGGCTGATGATGTCATGGGGTACAGCCCGTGTGACCAGCTCCACTGTGTGAGAGAGTTGTATCTAAAAATAAGGAAAAGACAGCGTAGCACGAGAAAAAAGAGTTTGAACAAACAGAAAAGTGCTGCATGGCACAGTGTGTGAAAACTACAGAAAAAGGTTAAAGAGGAGAATGAAAATTAAAGGTCCAAAAATTGTGTTATTGTAACACAAACCCAGTTTGAAAAGTCCCAAAAAAAAGGGGCTACTGAAACTAAGCACCCCAAAAGGGATGTTAAAGAAATGAACAACGTAGAACGTGCCATAGCACATCTATGTGCTGAAAAAAGAAACAGGCACACTCTTAATGAGATGTGCAAAAAGGATCTCCAAGAATTTGGAGAACCTAATATCCCCCGACCCCTCACAGGATGTGACAAAGAACTCCAAGAAGAGTTCAAATGGGCAGGATAAACCTGGCAAAGAATGGGCCCCTAACTTGCCCAAAGAACAAAAAAGAAGGCAAGGACATGCCAACAGGCAGGCCCCTCCTGAACCCAACCCTGTCATGGGAGGATAAACACAAACACGTTGTGCACTCCGGCACCAACTCATGTGCCAGTGAGCCTCATAGTGCCAGGCAATGCCTGGATCAACCCAGAGGTCAAAGAGGCCTTCGCAATCCCAGGGGTGACATATAGTACTGACATCAAAAATGAATCCCTCAGTGGAGAGGGAAAATGTTGTGTGGTCTGCAACTGCACTGAAACTCATGAGGTGTACTACTTGTCCACCAGTATGTATGTCTTCCCCATTCCTGGGAGGAGACACACTTGGTCCTACAAACAAGTAAACACTGCCATGGCCAGCCTCCACACAGGGGTTCCCCCGCCTCTTAGCACTGCTCCTTTTGGGGGGGGGGCAATAATGCATCACTTCCACATAGGATGTGGATGATTTATGTGCACGAGTGCATGGGGACAATATGTCCAAGGCAGACAAATGGTTTACCAAAACATTTGTTTGGGCGGCACAACAAACTGCCCAGGAAGTGACTGAGGTCCAATGTTGTGTGCGTGAGGCATGGGTCCGTATATAAGGAGAGGATCACCCTCTCTGTGCAAAGAAGGCAAGCAGCTCATTCCCCCAGCTCACCAATCCTGCCGAAAAGCACAAGGCTTGGATTGAGCACCATGAGCGCCCCTACAAAGGGGTCACACTATATGGGATCCACAATACATGTGATCTGGAAGAAGTGGAGGGCTACCTCCTTCTAGCTAGGCTATGTCCCACAGCCAACAACAAGCAAGGGGAGGCTAACTACCTCCACTTCACAAAAACAGCCATCAAATTGTTGGCTTCTGGGACAGACTCCATCTCTGCATTGAGAATGGAGCTCAACATTGTGCCCAAAAGGATGTATGAGAGATATCAAGGGCCTCTGGAGACCCTTACAGAGGAAAATGTTGTCCGTCACTTTGCAGCCAATGGAGTGACTACAGAAGAGGCCATTCAGGCAAGGCAATTTGCCCGCACCTGGATTTAAACTGAAACTGCGACATGTTTGCCCAAAGGTGCCCTACAATGGGGTGTTGTCTTCTCTCAATGTCCTTCAGAGGACATCAAAATCCTATATGGTGCACCCAGTCCAGCCCATATGGATGTAGACACCACCCCTCAGGTGGCTGAATCATCAGAAAGTGTACATATGTGCTACATGCGAGTTGATGCCCCAGAGCACAACTATGATGATGACGCCATGGGGCTTCAGATCCTCCTGTATGGGAGCCTCAATAAGAGCATCTACAATTGATGCTGTGCCTTCATAGGATGCCAAGTGCGCCGTTGTCGATGATGAGAACTGCAGTTAGAAAACCACACACAAAACAAACTAACACACAATCCTCCCAGATTCCACGGAACTTGTTTATGGGCTTTGCCTCCTAGAACAGTGGAGTGGTCTGGTTGTTCGTGGGGTGGTACGTATAAAGATCCTTCAAAGTAAAACCCAGAGGTGTATGAGTGTGGGTTTTGAGGAGGAGGGATAGTTGAATTTATAGAAGGATAAGGGGCTTGGTGACGAGTATAGACGAGCACTACCTTGCTAATCGTAGCACAAGGTAGGTTTGAGAACAACAAGGATGACGAGGTGACGAGGTTCCCAGTGATAGCAGGCTCCTGACGCACAAACTGTAGTGCTCAGAAGAACTCTAATCGAAGGGGATGACAATCACTTTCAAAAAGTGACGAGTGACGATGACAGCAGTTAACAGTGGTAGAAGTGGGAAGTGTTGTGACCACACTGGATCACAAGTAGCAGAGTAGTGAACTTGAGAGTAGAGAAGAAGTCTGGATTCGAGTTCTTGTTGTTTTTACAAGGTAAAATACAGGGGTTTATATAGTAAAAGAGAAGTAGGCTATGCACAGTATAGCTGTGCAAAAAGAATGAGAAAGAATATGAAGGAAGGAATGTACGCTGACAAATCCTGCGTAGGTAGTACAGGATAAGATTGTCAAAAAAAGAAAAGAAAGGGATAGAACAATAAATGCTGTGAGTAATGTCACAGGTTTGTACAGCCATAAAGTAAAGTCCAATAGCAAAAAGAGAGCAGGAAAATCATGATGTCATGGGAAGATGCAGTAAAAAAAAGGCAAAGCAAAACACTATCAGTATCAACACAGTTCCTTTATTGTCAGTCAGGCATTCTAAAAAAATATGTGTCCATAAAAATGATTCAAAAATCAAAAATAATTGCACTGTAAATGAATGTTCTGCTGAAAAAAAAGAAACTGGAGCCACCGGTCCACCACCTAGTCCAAATCTGACAGTTCCATGGCCTTACCAATGGACTGGTTGTGTTGGACCACCTGATCAAACGAGGGAGGGAGAGGAGTAGTTCCAATTTGGAACAAGTGAGTCCCAGGCAGCGTGTGGTAGGTGTAGCTGTAGCGAAGACGATGGACAAATGATAAGTGTACCCAAGTGAATGGGACAGCGATGAACATGGGCGACGCAAGGGGATGAACCTTCTCCAGCTCAAAAATTACCCACCCACGCTCCAACCAGGCAAGACGAGCGACCGATGTTTTGATAGTATATGATGGCAGATCGACGTCATGAAGATGGACCTGTTGCCCTATTTGGACCGGCCGCCGGGGCTTTGCTGATATCAGCAGTGGCACGTGGTAGTCAACGGATCGGCGACGGAAGCGGATAGGAAGTGGTGACATCAGAAATGGTGGGGGTGCAAAGAAGATGAGGAGGAGGAGGGTGGAGGTGACGAGGAGGTGAACTAAAATGGGGACCCAGAAACGACCGTCGGGTGAGAATAAAAAGGAGAGGAAGGGGCCCATGGTGGGGCTAGGCAAAGGAAGGGGAGTAAGGGAAACGACAAAAGCGAGGGCGCAATGCAATGTGTAGCCAGTGGCGACGCGAAAATTTGCCGAAATGCCGAAATGCGGAAAGTACCGGATGGAAAAGCAAAGGTGAGCGTGACTGGATTGCCTAATAGAGGTGGTGCTGATCAGCCACAAGTTCAAAAAGGGCAATATTAATTACTATTCCACGTGGCACTGTGCCTGTGTGGCGCAAAGGCGAGTCTTTTTGAATATTCGCTTCGTTATTGACAGCTGTCCATGCTACCAATCAACTTTGGTGCATGACAGCGGGGAAGGCAGGCAAGCTATCCTTGATGGGTAGCTGTTTGCTATAGATACAATGAGCAACCAGCACAGTTTATCAGTGAATACCACTTACATTTTCCTTGTTAGCCCATGATTGACATGTGGCTTGATACATACCACAGCTACGGCTGCGCACTGAATAGAACCAAGTCAAAAAAGAAGAGGGCGTAAAATAAATTGATGTACTAGTGTGTGTAAGGTCCATTTACATTTTCTTATCTTGTTGATGTCTTGGTTCTCAGACACTTTCTGCATCACACCTCTGGCTCTAGGGCTAGAGGTATCTTTTGCCATCTTGCTTTTTATAGCCCTAACAGGCTTCCTTAACCATTGTTACCAGTTCCTATTGCAGATCAGAGACTGGGTAGTACTCCCAACCAGCCAGCACAATGGGTAAGGACTAGTAGCTGAGATCTTGCCAACCAGCTCCAAGTCCTATTAGTGCCTGGAGATATTAATAGATGCTTTAGTCAGGATTATACCTCATCATGAGGATACAGTTCCTGAACATGCGTCACAATACTTATTATTAGTACATTCTCTCACCTGCTGATTAATCCCTGAAGTCGTACAATAAGTTATTCTTTTTCTTATTGGATAGTTTCATCCTCAGACCACTTCTCTTTTCTACCTCCAGTCTGAGAGATAGACAATTAGCTATAAAAACCCTACATACTCATGTATCGTTCTTTAGCTTTTTATTACCTGAATAACCTGCTTCACTCCTTATCAGAAACCCTTGAGTTTACTCCCAGTCCTCTACCTGCTATAATCTCTAGCAGCTATTGGCCTCAAACTCATTGTGCCTCTTACTCCCTGCAAGTGCAGTTGGAGACGGGTATTGTTTTTGTTATAGTTTAATGTTGCCTCACAAGGTGTTGCTGCCATTAGGTAGCAAAATTGAGACATTTACTTTTCCTTGTGCATACATGACTTCACCATTTGCTACATTGATAGACATTGGCTCAATAGTTTTGTAGTCATTGAACATGTGACAATGAGGACAGAAATGGTCTGTGGCACCGCAATCAATTATAGCATTTTGGATGTTGTGGTATGTTGTTTTGTTTGCTGAACCAAAAGGTTCTCGACCAACAACAAAAGCATAGATGTCTTCATTGTTTTGCTCTGTAGCCACATTAGCCATATTTGCACCAGCAGGTTTGTTCTCATTTTGGTTGTTTGGCTGACCATCCTTTTAATTGGTTCTATGCTTAGGTCCTTGACCTTCACGTCCTCCACCTGGTGCATAGCAGTGTTCTGTGGTATGGCCAGTTTTAACGGGGCAATTAGGATTGCCACACTTGTATTTCTGATGGCACTCTGCCCTTTGTGCTGACTTTTGCAGTCATTGCAGAGTTGTTTCTGGCTTGGCCTGTTACACCACGGCTGTCAGCCTTGTCGAATATCTGTCTCTGATATCTGATGAGGATAGTGGATGATTGGTGTTTTGAGCAGTGGTAAGCATGGACAAAATAAGAGGTCAATATGAGTTCAGAAGTGATGCAAAAACCATGGCCAAATAATCTTTCTCTGCTATTGCTATGCTCATCCCAGCTAATTGTTCTTGCATTTTTAGCATCTCTTGAATATGTGTTTGGACGTTTCCATTGTCCTGAAGACTCATATTATGCAAGCGTCAACAAATATCAATTTGCATCATTTTAGGTTTTCCCATCATGCATTTGGCATATTGCAGCCCAGATTTTAGCAGCCGAGGACTTGTCAAAATTTTGTACGAGGATTTCATCGTGAATGGTAGAGAATAGTTGTTGAATAACGAGGCACTCTCTCTGAGTGAATTTGTCAACTCTAGTCTCATAGTTCTCTATGTCCTCTTCCTTTAGAGTGGTGCCGTCAGATTTTGTTGCAACATCATTAGGGTCTCTAGTGTATTCAAGGAGAGGTGGTTTGTTTGCAGTTCCAGACAAATGCCTTGAAAGGCCTTGAGCACCAACAGCAATTGCTATGCATGACTTGTATGTAACCCAGTTTGAGCCATCCTTGGCTAGTTTTGGTACAGTAAAAGTGGTGGTAGAGGAATTATCTGGTAAGCTAGCTGGACTCATAACCTGTTGAGTATCACAACACAATGGGATCCGCACCCGTGTACAGTGATTCTGGACCTTCTGGGCATGCAACCAATCAGTATGCTTTCCAAGTACGCCTTGGTAGCTTAGTTGGTAAAGCACCAGACCATGAAAGCTGGAGTCCCAGGTTCAAGCCCTGGCCAATGCATGTTTTCTCATACTATAAACAAATGTCATAATTTGTCATTGAGTTAAGAACTATTGGGAGAAAAAACTAAGGTAAGATCAGTAAGTGTTGTCATAAGGGAATATTATAGTATCATACCTCAGTCCTGTAACAAGAAGACTGAGGTTTGCAAACAAGGCAATTGCGAGTTTTCAGAAAGAACTGTGGGAAAGTAAGTGACCATTATGTAAACAGTAAAAAAGGCGCAAAGTAGAACAGGCAATCAGCATGTTCTAGTTAGAGAGAAAAGAAAGAAAATAGTATATGTGTATTGTAGAGTAACTATGATGTTTCTAATAGCTAACACAGAGACCTCTGCCACCATAACCCTTATGGCTCTTCCCAGCAGGCCCATCAGCTTGAAGAGGATTGAAACAACTCTGCGGAGCAGAGCAGCTGCACCTTGCTCAACATGCAAAACTGACACACCCTCATCATTGTAATCTATAGCATGGTCATAGCCTAGCCATCCAGGACAAAGATACAAAAACTTACCAAGGGGATGGGAACAGAATGAACTATCATGGTACAAAATTCATTCACCAACTCCTGTTGGTTTAATAACTTGGTTTTTTGGGTAAATTGCCAATCTGCCAAGGGCACATTTGTGGAGTCCGCTAATGTGTTGTCACACCATGCTCTTACTGTACATGGGTTATCTCTTCAAAGGATGTGTTTCTACATATTCTCCATGGTTTTTTGTACCGGAGATTTATCCTATACATTTTTTAGACCATTAGGTTGATGGGGGTGATCAGATCCCATTTATATGTTATGTTTCAGGGTGTTGATAACCCAAAAACCTTTTAAATACTGTGATTTGACTGTTCTTTTGTAGTTACAAGCTGTATCTTTGTATTTTACCTCTAAATGCTTCAAGGGCCGAATTGGTAGCATAAATAAGTACTCAGATCATGGATTCCAGGTTTGATGGAGCAGTGTTATGCTTATGATAATGGATTTTGCATCTCTGTGCTGTTTTGCAACTCTGGTCAGAGCTTTTAGTCTGTGGCTGTAGATGATAATGTAAATTCAAGCATGTCGCATTGGTCCCTTGGGCTATACAGTTCTTCTGAGCCTACTGAAATGCTCTACTGAAAAGTTCATTGTGATTTGGGTTGGGTCCAGCCCCGGAGGACCATTTTATTTTATTTTATCATATCAGATCATCTCCACCTCCCTAGGATGGGTAGAAGCCCGGCATGGTTCGTCCATCACTGTCTCGCATAGACTAACTTCTATGCGCACCTCACTTCTCGCTTAGAATATCGTCTTTGTAATGATGACGGTACTGCTGATAAATGTTGGTCCTTCTCTTTGTAATGCTAACGCCTAACGGCACCGCTGATCCGTCCTTTGTACCTTCTCCTAGCCATCAATGATCGATGATCGGAAGAGGAGGGAAACTGCATTTACAGAGTAAATGCATACTGTGACCCACCCGGCAGACATATATAGGACGTCCTCTGGTAGACTCTCAACAAACGACAATCGACCCACATCGTCTACTCATGTCTCAACCAATTATACTATACGATATCCCACGCACAGGGCCCGTAAAAGCCTTGTCTGGTAACATGTTCAAAGTAAGGTGAGTAGCGCAATCAAACCCATCATTAATAGCCTGACTTACATGTTTGCTGTCATAGGTACACACTTGCCTACAAAGGCTTAGCCTTCAAATCCGTCTGGGTTGAATCACAGGATATCGAAGAGCGGATGAAAGCCATTGGTGCCAAACCTACTGGGCTTAAACCTGACGGAAGTGATTTCTACACTCTCCCTGTTATCCAGGACCCTTCCACAGGTGCCATTGTCTCCGACTCTTTCACCATCGCAGAATACCTCGAGGAAACGTATCCATCCACCCCCACCATCTTCCCCCATGGTAGCCAGGCCCTCATCAGTACCTTTGATTCCACTTTCATGCAGGGTATACGCCCGATGTTCCCGTTGGTACTTACCGCAGTCCACGCGAGGATATTACCCACAAACGTGCCATACTTCAGGCAAAGTACCGAGATGAGAGTTGGTATGACGCTGGAGGAAATTTCACCCGAAGGTCCGAAACGCGAACAGCACTGGAAGAATGCCAAGGATTTTCTTGGGGTCATTGACGGATGGTATTCGAAAAGCGACGGTGAACGGATCATGGGGGATACGTTTTCGTACGCAGATATCATTGTGGGTGGGTGGATCAGGTGCTTTAGTGGGTTGTTCGAAGGGGAGAAATGGGAGGAGATCAGTACTTGGCACGGCGGACGCTGGGGTAGACTCCTCGAAGAGGTCAACAAGTATCCTATTCTAGCCTGATACATGAACAGCAAGATTCTGTGACTGGATGTCTACCTTGTTTTACCAATAGCGGATTTTCGGACATTGCATGCGGCCCACAATAGTTCAATGACACTGAAGGATGCCAGCATTCAGTACTATATCAACTCTCAGTGCACAATCCCGAGGGCCCCACTGGGCCTGTGAAGCGAACGTACGAGAAGGATAAGACCACAATAAATGTGCAGCCAGTATGCACTGCGAGAATCTTTGATCTGTCTGCGCACCCGCAGATAATGTCTTTTATCTGAGACCCCTTAGAGATTTCCGCTTATTTAAACGCGAACTCTATCTCATTTAATATTATATGCAGACTCACTATTAACCCCCCCTCGTTGAGCTACTTTAACGGTGATGATAGTCGATCGACATTTTGCGGCTTGCTACCTGATTTGGGAGGGTTCGATGAGATACTTATTTTCGGACGCCCATTTTATAATTCAGTCAGGACTTGGAAAGAGTGAGTAGCTGAATCAGCGACGACGTAAAAGTGGTACTTACAAAGCAACATGCATTAGTTATCACCATGAATCAGCAACGGCTACTTCTTCGTTGATTATGGTGTTAACTCTCCAAAAAGTATGACCCAACGGGCTTTCGAAGGCAGGGAGAGAAAAGCATTTCGAAATCTAACCCCATTCAAGGCGCACTTTGCATCAGACGATCAGCACCCACTTCAGACGATCGACACTCACTTCATATCCTCTACGCATGTCTCAGCCAATTATACTATACGATTTTCCGGGAAAAGTGCCCGGAAAAGCGCTATCTGGCAACATATTTAAAGCAAGGCGAGTACCGAACCCGTCACGTCCATGCGATGAACACATTTGACTTGCATGTTTGCTGTTGTAGGTACATCCTTGCCTACAAAGGCTTGTTTTCAAATCTGTCTGGATTGAATCACCCGATATTGAAGAACAAATGAAGGCCATTGGCGCCAAACCTACTGGGCACAAGCCTGACGGAAGTGATTTCTACACTCTACCTGTGATTTAGGATCCTTCTACAGGTGCCGTTGTCTCCGACTCTTTCGCCATCGCAGAATATCTCGAAAAGACATATCCATCCACACCGCTGTCTTCCCCCACAGCACTAAAGTTCTCATCAGCGTCTTCGATTCCGCTTTCATGCACGCACTGGCCCCTGCATTCCCGGTAACGAACGTCACAGTTGCCCCTAAGTTGTATCCTAGAAGCGAGGAGTACTTTATGAAGCAGGCTGAGGCTTGGTTTGGCGTCAGGTGGGAGGATATTTCGCCTGTAGGTCCAAAGCGCGAGGAGGGCTGGAAAAATACCAAGGTGGCCCTTGTGGTCATCGATGTATGCAAAGAGTGGTGGTAAGTGGTTAATGGGAGATACGTTCTCCTGTGCAGATATCATTGTAGGTGCATGGATGAGGTGCTTCAGCGTTGCCTTTGATAGGGATCAGTGGGAGGAGATGAGGCCTTGGCATGCTAGGGCAGCATAGTTCAAGAGATGGACAGGTATTCCATTCTGCACTAACGGATGAGCGATGTAATTCCGTGAACAAAGATATATCTTCTCTGCCTTGTCTTACTGACGCGTAGATCTGCACAATGTACATGATATTACAATCCCGAGTCGATGTTATCATAAGGCCGCCTGTTGTGTGTCTGGTTCAGTCTGATGTTTTCGGTATGGAGTGCAAAGATGTGCCACCGAAAACAAAGTCCGATAAACACCATCACCCAATAATGAGATCAGTTACAGTCGCAGTATAGCATTGACCATAGTACTGCAGTTTGGTGATATTTCTGTGAACCTGGTTTAACAACGATACTCTAACACTGTAACTGAAGCTGGAATGGATCCTGGAACACCACTAGTCGTGGATAATGGAACTGGTGTATGTCTCCATGCAATCCTACCACCACAAGTCCTTCTGATCCAGTGATTCGCGCAGTTCGTCAAAGTAGGATACGCCGGCTCCAACTTCCCAGAACATGGTACGCTATCCCTTGTGTCACTGAAACAAATCTCCTCTCTTCTGATCTACTCACCCATCATATCCTCCCATGCACCACAGTATTCCCCTCCATCGTTGGCCGCCCCATATTGCGCGCAGAAGAGCGCGTAGGCTCAGCAGTGATCAAAGACATCATGATCGGCGACGAGGCCGCAGAGAATCGTAACTACCTCCAAGTAACGCAACCCATGGAACACGGTATCGTCAAGAACTGGGAAGATATGAAACATCTCTGGGACTACACCTTTGACGAGAAGCTCAAAGTCGACCCGCGCGGGCGCAAGGTCCTCCTCACCGAGCCCCCGATGAACCCACGGGTAAACAGACAGCGCATGTGTCAGGTGATGTTCGAGGAGTACGGCTTCCAGGGCGTTTACGTCGCCATTCAGGCTGTGTTGACGCTCTATGCGCAAGGTGCGGTGGGTTCTTCTTTGGGAAATTTTGTCGTAGAGCCGATTTGGGTGAACCGATGTCGTTGATGGCTGATTGGTGGGCTTTTCTTTTGTGTAGGTCTTACGACGGGTGTTGTCGTTGATTCTGGAGATGGAGTGACACACATCGTCCCGGTGTACGATGGTTTTTCACTTCCTCATTTGACGCGCCGTTTGGATATCGCTGGACGAGACGTAACGCGCTACCTGATCAAACTACTGCTGATGCGTGGCTATGCATTCAACCGTACCGCCGACTTTGAAACCGTCCGAGAGATCAAAGAGAAACTGTGTTATGTCAGGTGCGTTGTCACCAGGTTAAAGTCCAGACATCATGTTCACGATCTGGTCATGATCAATGTGTCGTTTGATCTAGCTACGATTTAGACCTTGATCAGAGACTATCAGAAGAAACCACAGTTTTGGTAGAAAATTATACGGTATGTAACACAATTTGTTTTCCTTCTTCTCAGCAATGGTAGTGACTTTCATGTACCGTAGCTGCCCGACGGACGGACGATCAAAGTGGGCTCTGAACGCTTCGAGGCACCTGAATGTATGTTCCAACCTCATCTCGTCGATATCGAACAGCCTGGCGTAGCAGGTAATTCTCCACTCCTTCGTCTCTCGGAGTTATTCAGTCAAGAGACTTATATCGTTCATAGAAATGTTATTCCAAACGATTCAGAACGCAGCACGTGATATTCGCACAGAACTATACAAACACATCGTGCTTTCAGGCGGCTCTAGTATGTATCCTGGACTGCCCAGCCGTCTAGAGAAGGAGATGAAACAGCTTTACCTCACCCATGTACTCAACGGTGATCCAGAAAGACTGAACGTGAGTTACTATAATTTATTTGCCATTTTGCTCTCTCTTATGATGGCGTGGCTCTTTGCGACATGATATAATCTAGAAATTCAAAATCAAGATCGAAGATCCTCCACGCCGGAAACACATGGTCTTCCTTGGAGGGGCAGTCCTGGCCGACATCATGAAGGGCCGAGAGGAGTTCTGGATATCGAGAGAAGAGTGGTTCGAACAGGGTATCGGCTCTCTCGACAAACTGGGACGTGGAGAAAACTAGAATACGATATCGAACTCACTTATATGTACAGTCGATGTGACGATTAGTGCGAGGTCGCTTGAATGCTTTTTTCCCATTTCTGACAGGTTTCGATTTTGATCAGGAAGTGGACATATTTGTCTAAATTTAGGTTTTGATATGTGCCCCATGGCTGAGTTGGTCACAGCGTCCGACTGTTAAGTTCGAGTTGATCGAGCGGTTCATCGGAAGGTCGTGAGTTCGAGCCTCACTGGGGCAGTTAATTTTTTTTGACCTTTTAACTTTGGTCTGCAGCTCCGAGTGTGTCTGACATTAGCTTATATGCTGAAAATATTCAAGTTTAGCTTTTTCCAGCCAATCAGAACCCTGACAGAACTCCATTATTTTCAGCATATAAGCTTGGCTTAAATGAGCCAATGCCTGCAGTGAGGGTCTGTTGAAAAAAACACAGTCCAAAGTGACAAAGAGACATGACATGCATGACAGTAGTCTCAAACCCAGAAGCTAGTGCACTGCACTAGCATCTGGTGATTTTTGATAGAGGGCACCCCCATTGTGCTACACCTTGCCACTGCCAAGCAGCCAACTTGAATAGCATGGAATATATCTTATAAATACAATTATTATCTTATCTCTTAATAATCCCACTATGCGTGGTGGAGCGTTTGGTGAGAACGAAGACAATTGATTTATCTCCACTGTAGACATTGATAGAGTAGCATCAGACACTGACACTTCTTCTGACAGTGACTCTGAAGCCATGGACCTCCTGCCAATCCAACGGTGACACATGAGAAACCTCAAGAACCAGTTCATCGGCAATCCTCCTCTCAAATTTTGAGCAGTTCTCACATATATGGGGCTCAACCTACCCCTTCTCTACAACTTCTTAAGCAGGTTAGTGGGGAGTTTTTAAACAGGTTAGTGGAGAGCAGAGAAGTGATGCTGGCATAAGTGTGTATGGAATAGGTGTTGAGGAGGAAGTGAGGAGTTGGTTTGTGCTGAACAACTGCCTTGGTGCCTTTTGCAGTGGTCTGCTCCTGTAGTAAGTGTATTATTATTATTATTATTTTTGAATCCATTTATGTGGTCCATCTGTGGAAATATTGTCCCTATGTCAGACCATACTGTAGCTCTTGGTACATGTAATGTAAAAATATAATCTATATACTATCCTGAGCATAGAGGTTGTGTGTTGTATATCTTTACCAAAGCACCAGCAACCTGACACAACAAGTGTGTCTTGCACTGTTCCTATCACTAATGTGACCAGGCTTGGTTCAGATGGTAGAGGCCAAGCAGTTGATGGAGGCTATTATGAAAGGTGTTTGAAGGGTGATGGAGTTATGTGCACTTGGTCAGCTAGTGACTAGTGCAGTGGGGTTGGTGGCTCTAAAGGGTTGATTTGAGTGGGGAGACACCAGAGGAGCCTTGGGGAGGGGGAATGTTTGAGGAGCCTATTGGAGGCTGATAGTGGCCTTGGGGCCGGAGGGGATGCACAACCTGTATCTCAGGTTTGATTGTTCTCTGAACCTCTCTTTTTCTTCACCTGGGGCTTCAAATTGTGTCATGGAGCCTGCATTAAAAAACCCTCAGCATGGGGGGAAAAGCATGGCCCTCTGCACTGCCCTACTTCTTCTAATCCCATCAGTGCACTAGCTCATTGTAGCGGTCCCATTGCTGTCAAGTGAGTTGAGTGGGTTTTTTGTCTTCAGTAATATCATATGTGTTGGGGGGCTGAGTGGTAAAAAGTAATAAGTTTTTAATGGGGGTAAATGGACAATACATCACCTAGTGGTGCCTTTGAGATGTCATGTTGCCTTGATAAAATTTAGAGTGTATGAGATGGCTCTGGGGTGGTTGAAGAGGAATAGGAGGGAGTGTGATCATCATCCCAATGATGAGGAGAGACATAGTTGGGCAGCATCATAAGCTGGATATACTAGCATAAAATAGAGAATAGTTTCTGGGGTGGAGATGCAGTGGTTACAGTTGGGGGAGTTTACAAGCTGTATGCAATGTAGGTGGTAGTTTAGTGGGACATGTTGAGTTTGTAGTTGTATAAGTATACTGGCTTGGTGATTTTTGGAAGGGTCAACAAGCTGTAGGAAAGAGGAAGAGTAGGTAGGGGTCAGTACAAGTGATGTGAGGTGCTCTAGGGGAGCATTTCCAGAGTTGTTGTTCATCTTTTCTTGGTGATAGCCATGTGTTGTTGTTTGATGGTGGAGAGGCTTTAAGGCAGGGGTGAGCGCAATACCTAACAAAATGGTGTGAAGGATCTTTGTGAGAGTGTCCATGTGGACATCTAAACCTGTTGGGTTGAGGTTCAGGATGGAGGGGTGTCGGTTGAGGTTTTATTGAAACCAGCATCCCACAGTTCACATGGTGAGATCTCTTCTTTGACAAATGTGCCATCTGTTGGAGGTGGGTGGATGGACGCGGTGAAATCTGTGCAGCCAATGTCAAGTTCAACATCCATAGGTACGTCTTTGAAAAAATATTCTTATTTGCTTGCTGCATGAGCTTGAGCTGATTATTTCATGGAGTGTTTGAAAGAGATGTGTCAGAGGTAGAGGGCACTATTTGTGTGCTTTTGGGGGTGGACCATATGTATCATCTGTTATACTTCTTTAAAAAGAGGGTAGACCATGCATATGATGCAAGGCGGCTTGCTGTGACCAGGAAAACTGCATGTGCCCAGGCATTGTTGTCATTTATAAGCCAGGAGAGTGCAATTTGCTTACCTCAGCCATCTATCAGGTCTGTTGTCTGGTCCATAGTGGGCAATAAAATCTGAGATGAGTTCCAGGCGTTGAATATTTGTTGGTTATACCAAGTCTGTCATGTGCATCTAACTCTGTCTGAAAATCATTACAGTCCAACATGAATATGCTCCCATGCTCAATACAGAATTCTCTATCTTGAAAATAGACACTCAATGCACAAGTGCAACAAACACTTCCATCATCAAAACCTCAATGTTATATCCTGCAACTTGTGTACTCAAGCTGAAGGCATATTTACCTCTGCAACCTCTTGTTGTCACCATATTTTTTGGGTACTCATCTAAGAGATGTGATTCAGAGTGGTATTGTAAGTTATCATGATTTTTGCTCTACAGATTATCCTTCATAGCCAATCCAAGTATCTGTTGCCATTTCAAAACAACTGAGCTCATTCCTCACACCCACCATAGAAGCGGTCATCTGGGGTGTTTATTCAGAGCATTCATTATATTTAGACAATGCATGTATCATTATATAATTTCTCCCTTATTGCAGGCTGCTACAGCTCATTCAATTTTCTTTTTCTTGTAACTAGATGCCTCTCTCTGAACACAATATGTTAACTTCAGAGCCTTATAATAATGCCACCATTTCTTTCCTCCCCCTTCCTCTTGCCTTCAACTACAAAAACTCACATGATTGAACAACTCTCTCCAGTGAAATTCAGTGCTGGTTTGTAGCAATACCTACTGTAATAAATCTAAGTGAAACTCAGCTGCTGCCCGAGAGGCTATAGAAATGACTGAGGTATTCCTATACTAAACCCCCTACTACTTATAGTTGGAGGTGCTACTCGCTACAGTATAATGACTCCTAGGAGAACAATGGTTACTCCATGGAGTGGTGGCTATGCTCCATGGAGAACAATGGCTGCTTCAGCAGAGACCGGGTTTATCCAGTTTTGTCACTCCCACTCGAGTGCAACCGTAGTCCCATAGCTTTAGAGAATTTCCAGTGTTTTTCATGAGTGAGGGGTTTAGTGAGAATGTCTGCAACTATATCTCCTGTAGGAACATATCTGATTACTGCCTCTCCCTTTGATACTAAGTCATCTCGGATTAAATGATATTTCCGTTGAATGTGTTTTGTGCGAGCATGGAACTGTGGATCTCGTGTAAGAATGATAGCTGCTTGATTGTCACAGTGCAATGTTGTAGGTCCATTTTGAGCATGTCCAATTTCTTCAAAAATGTCCGAAGCCATGCAAGGTGTTGTCCAGCATTGCTCAATCCAATGTACTCTGACTCTGTGGAGGATAAAGCTACCATGCTTTGTCTTTTGCTTGTCCAGGAGATTGCTCCTCGGATAGTGATAAAGACAAACCCTGATGTTGATTGAGATGTGTCTGGGTCTCCAGACCAATCTGCATCTGAATATACATAGAAATCCATGTCCATGGAGACATCTGTGCCATCATATCGTAGTTCCATGTCTCTGGTTGCTTTCAGATATCGGAGGACACATTTTGCAGCTTCCCAGTGATGGCTCCTTGGAGCTGAGCTATGCCTGCATAGTATTCCAACAACGTAGGCAATGTCTGGGCGGGTTCCGAGCATGGCATACATGAGGGAGCCTACAATTGAGAGGTATGACACTTGACGCCCTTCAATATGCATCTCGTGTTGCACAATATCTTCACCTGGAGCATTTGCAAGGAGTTTTGATCCATGGGCCATTGGTGTCCATACTGGTTTGCAGTTCTTCATTCCAGTACGCTCCAGGACTGTGTCAATGTATTGGCGTTGCAATAGGGATATTGTTTTGTTTGAACGATCACATTGGATTTCTATTCCGAGGATGTATTTTGCTTCTCCAAGGTCCCGTATTTTGAATATGGATTCGAGTTTGGCTTTTGTGATATCCATGAATTTTTGGGATGAAGCTCCTAGGAGGAGGTCATCTACATAGACAACAACAAAGCATATTTGTTTGTTTTCCCGGAATACATAGAGACATGTTTCTGCATTTAGTCTTGTGAAACTGAGCTCTTGGAGCTTGCAATCAAAAGTTTTATTCCATGTACGACCAGCTTATTTTAACCCGTAGATGGATTTCTTCAATCTCCAGTAGTATCCAGGTTGGATAGGAACACCCCCTGAAGGAAGCATGTACAGTTCTTCTTCAAGTTCTCCATTGAGATAAGCTGTGGATACGTCCATTTGATCAAGTTCTAGGTTGTACTTTGCTGCCAGGGCTAGAATAATTCGGATTGACTCTAAGTTTGCAACCGGAGCAAAAACCTCCTGGTAATCAATCCCCTCCCTTTGAGTAAAACCTCGTGCAACAATCCGGAGCTTGTATCTCTCAATGTTTCCGTTTTGA